TGTGCCCGGGGCTGTGCCCCTGGACGTGGCGGCCTGGCCGGGCCGGGCTCAGGGCATCCCCTGAGGGGTCCCGGCCGCTCCCCGAGCAGCCCCGCGGGCCCGGTGCCGTGAGGGACGAGGAGGGGCTGCATCCCTGCACAGACAGCCCCGGCCCGGGGCATTCCGAGCTGCTGGAAGCAGGGATGTGAAAATCCGTGCCAGAGCCGTCCCCAGCACTGCTGCTGCCCCGGCCGAGGCTGATGCCCGGCTGGCGACAGGGAGGTAAAGGTGTGTGAGCACCGAGCTCTGTCACACCCCGCTGTCCCCRCACCCTGCAGCCTTTTGGGGACACCCAGATTTAACAAAACCCCAAGGAGTGAGGGTCAGGGAGACACGCTCCGCTGGAACAGGGCGTTGAGGTTCAACGCCTCCRTTCACAGCCATCGGCATCTCTGCTGTATCAGGACAAGCCGGGGGAACATTGCTCAGACCCACATTGTGGGTCTTTATGAATTAACAATTGAGAGCAGCACCCAGGGACACTCCATCCTCTAYCCCCGCTGGAAACTTGAGGACATTGCTCAATTTGTTATTTACTGGGGATTTTTTTTCTTCATGGGGGAGAAACACCACTTCTAGCAAACTTCTGCTCTCGCTTTGATTCCTTCCATGTAAAATGTCACAGAGATGCATTACAAAACAATAACATTTATTAATTAAAAAAAAAAAAAAATCATGTCACAAAGTCCACAGGGCTTCAAACCAAGCAAGGAGAGAGTCAGGGCAAGCTCCGTCCTCATCACTCTGCACCATGACTACAGGCCTGCACACTTCACTGTGCATCGGAAGTGGCACAGTTTTAAAAGCCAGAATTTGGGGGCAAAAAAGTGGGTACAGCAATAGAGAAAAAAAAAAAAAAGATCATTTCAGAGAGTGCTGAAATACAGGCAGTGTGCATCGGGGGCACTGAGATGTTGTCACACTGTGCRGGGTCAACCCGATACGGTGATAGATGGTTCGGGATGGAGCTGCCTGTCTGCCAGCTACAGCCTCGCAGATCCCTGGCCTTTTGCTTTTCACTTGAAAAGTTAAGTCACATCCTGAACTATTTTTGCATTGTGTTGGCTTAGAGCTCACAAATCTGAATGCACTCAGCCCTCGGAGTGACAAATGTTATTCTCAGTCCTCCCCCGCAATTTCAGGCAGTCAAGAATTAGATGCAGCACAGTGTACAATGTTTTAATCTATTGATTTGTACCTGCTGTGCCCAAAAAAATTCATTAGAGGAGCCTTAAAATTATGAAGTGGTTGAATGCTCAGCTCCCTCCCGAAAAGACGAGTTCTTTCTTGGCCGCTCACCTCTGCCACGTTC